CAGAAAGTAAATAAATTCAATGCAATTGTGCTAAGTTTTATTGGAAAAAGATAAAACTTTTATAGTATGTGTAACAATATATCTGCAGATGAGCTGGATAGAGGACAGGGAAGGACTCTTTAAAGAGATATGCTCTAGTCAACACCTGAATGCTGAGTGGGCAAAAGGCAGGGAAATCGTCAGAGAGAGAAAGCCAGGCAAGGGCAGGATGTGCCCTGATCACAATGCAGGAAAAGCCAAGACAGGAAGGAAAATGATGCTCCAGAAGCATCAATGCTTCTGAAGCCAGCAATGGAAAACACTCAGGCCACATTGGAGGTATGTAAGCAGGATAATGACATGATCAGACTTGAAATTTTAAAGATTCACTATTACGTCTACATGAGAAATTTATTGGGAATAGGAAGAAGGCTACATCCAAAGTAGGAATAAAATACCAATTTAAAATGTTACCTTTTTCCCATTCAGTGGGCTTTCTAATTATCTTGCTTTTTATGTCCTTTGCTAGGCAGATGCTCTTCAATTTGATATAATCCCATGCATCCAGATTTTCTTTGATTTGTTGTGATTCTGGATCCTTGTTTAAGAAGTTTCACCCCTTGTCTAGAAGGCTTAGGGTTTCCATATCTCTTCCTGTGATATTTTCCCAGTATCTGGCCTCACATTGAGGTCTTTGATCTATTTAGAGTTGATTCTAGTACAAGGTGCATACAGGTATCTACCTTCAGTTTTCTGCATGTAGATAGCCAATTTTGCCAGCACCACTTGTTGAAGAGGTTGTCTTTCTTCCAACCTGTGTTTTTGGTTCCCTTATCAAATATTAGATGGTTTTATATTTGTGTGCTTATTTCTGGGTCTCTTATTCTGATCCATTGGTCCTCAGGCCAACTCTGTGCCAGTACCAAGCTGTTTTTATTACTATGCCTTTGTAATAAAGCTTGAACTTTGGTATCAATATTGATCTAATGCTGCAGTTCCTGCTAAGGATTGTTTTTGCTATTCTGGGTCTTTTATTATTTCATATGCATTTTTGGATTGATTTCTCTATTTCTTTGAAGAAAGTTGTTGGAAGTTTGATGGGTACTGCATTGAATTCATATATTGCTCTGGGCAGAATTATCATTTTTACTATGTTAATTCTTTCCAACAGGATTATGGGATGTTTTGTCATTTTCTTAGGTGTGCTTCAATTTCTTTTATCAGAGTTTTACAGTTTTCACAATACAAGTCTTTTGTGTCTTTGGTTAAGTTAATTCCTAAGTATTTTTTTGAGGCTATTACAAATGAAGTTGCTTTCCTGATTTCAGCATCATTCTTTCCATTGTTGGCATACAAGAAGGCTACTGATTTTTGTGGGTTAATTTTATAACCTGCTACTTTTCCAAAATTTCAAATCAACTCAAGTAGCTGTGAGGATCTATAGAGTTCTTTAAATACAGGATCATGTCATCAGCAAAGAGGGATAGATTCACTTCTTCTTCCCCTATTTGGATCAACTTTATGTGCTTCTCTTGCTTTATTGCTCTTGCTAGGAATTCTAGCACTATGTTGAAGAGGAGTGGAGAGGGTGAGCATTCTTGTCTTGTTCCTGATTTTAAAGGGAATGGTTTTAACTTTTCCCATTAAGTCCAATGCTGGCTGTAGGTTTGTCATATACAGCCTTTACTGTATTAAGAAATGTTCTTTGGATTCCTCTAGCTATATATCAAGCAAGGGCCTCATATCCAGTATATACTTACAGCTCAAAAAATTAAACCTCCTTAAAATAAACCCTCAAAAACACAACAATCCAATCAATAAATGGGATAAAGACCTAAAGAGAGATTCTCATATGAAGGAAAAAGAATGGCTAATAGACACTTGAAGAAGTTCTCAACATCTCTGGCCATAAAAGAAATGTAAATCAAAACAATCCACCTCACTCCAATTAGATTAAACATAGAGTTTTCCTATGATCCAGCAATGCCACTCGTGGGCATTTAGCCAATGAATCACAAACCAGGCCAAACAAAGGCCACCAGCATGACCATGTTTATTGCAGCATTGTTTCCCATAGTCAGTGGACAAATGAATCAAGAAAATGTGATTTATATAATGGAATTCCACTCATCAGAAAAAATGATATTGTACCATTTTTAGGAAATAGAAAAAACCTGGAAAATATCATATTAAGCAAAGTAAGACAGAACCAAAGAAACATAGGCTGCATGTTTTCCCTCATTTGTGCTAACTACAATGTGCCTATAAATCTACAGTAAACATACTGAATGACCAAAACAAATAAATAAAATTGGATCATGGTAAATTATATATGACCCTAGTCATTAATGTACAGAAGCCAAAGGAGCCTACACATAGGAGTGGTGGACAGAGGCTCAATAGCTATGGACAGATGATAACATAAAATAATATTCTATGAAGTGAACTCCAAAAAAAGGAAACAAGAGACACCCTTTAGTTGCCATTGTTGCTGCTTTTGTTTTCTTTCCTCTTGTCTTGTTTGTTACCTTGTTTGTATTTGGGAGGGCAAGGGATGGCAGAACAAGGATGAGAAATTATAATACTGATACCCACCAGACACTATGTTGAAAATGAACTGGATATCTTATGGGTGGGGATGAGAGGGAAAGGGTGGAAGAGAGTGATGGAGGGGAAAATGGTTCAAAAAGAATTGTGCTGATTGTACCTGATTCATGTAACTGAAACCCCTCTGTATATCAACTACACAAAAACAATAAAATAAAATGCTACCTTTCCTACTCAGCCACTGGTGTCTGATGCCTGTAATCCTAATATACCTACTTAGGAAACTGAGACCCAGAATACTGTGTTTTGAAGCAAGCTCAGGCAAAAAATCCATGAGACTTCATTTCCACAATAATTAGCAAAAAGCCAAGCTGCAGTCTAGTTCACATGATAAAACACCAGTCTAGCAAGCAAGCTGAGGAAATTCAAGGCTATGAGTACAAAGCTTGGTACTAGCCAATAAACAACTAAATATACAATAAAGCAGTAAATAATAACAGTAGTAAATCAATAAGTATTACTTTTCCCGAGTTCCTAAAAACTGCTTGTACATTTTGCTCTTTCATGATATCATTAGTCACAATTAAAAATTGATCATGCAGTGTGTATTATTTGGCTTTGTAGTTTTTTAAAGTTATGATCCCTTTTAACTAAATCCTATGCATATATCAAAGATCAATGTGGGAGAAGCAAATAGCTCAAACATTGTGTTACAACCTGAATTGTAACAAGCTCATTTGTTATAGTCCTAACTCCTAGTCTCTGAGGACAGGATTAACTTAGAGATAAAATGTTTAAAGAGGTAATTAAGTTAGAATGAACCCCCTTTACTCAATGTGTCCATTAGAGGAATAGATCAGGATAAGAATTGTACAAAAGGCTACATGGAGACTAAAAGAGAAGATAGGACTGACAAACAAAGAGCAAGCATCACAAGAAACAACCACAATTATACCTTCATCTCTGACTTCCATCCTACAGCCACCAATAATTTAGTTTTTGTTATTTAAGCCACCTAGTCTGCACATTTATTAAGTCAACCCTAGTACAATAATCTATTGCATAAAACTAAAAACCAAGCAAACAAAATGCCACCAAAAACCAGAACTTAGAAAATGTGTTCTTCTGGTGAATTTGAAATAGACTTATTTGCCAAAAGAGGTGCCAATAAAGGAGCAATTCATTAAAATGATTTTGAAGAATCTATTCCCACAGACTTATTGTATGGAATAAACATGGCAGCTATTCCAAAGAATGCCCTATACTTTCTGAAAATTGGGTTGTCTCTAACCAGGAGTGGATGCATGGTATCATTCAGACATCTGAGTATCATTCTCTACCTTGACTGAAAGTCAACATTTGTCAATATCCTGAAAGTAAGTGACTCATGTACACATTTGAGCCAGGAGGTTTTCTTAATTTTGTTTATTTTTATTCTAACCATCAGTCATGTACTTTGCATATGTCTACTGGTCTACTCTGTGCTGAATATTACAAAGAATATAAAGAACTTCAAGGCATAGTTCATGACCTTAAGAAAGTCATACCAGTTAATATTGATCTTCTATTTGTTCTCTTCTAAAAAGGCTCTTGAGTCACTAGAGAGCAGGGTTCCAAATGATGGTAGGGTATTTTCTGGCCAGACACATCTGACTTCACTGGCCTGACTTCAGATGACTCCTAAAATCCTTCTATCTATGCTAATTACGTTAGCTGGGGACACTCAGGTTTGCAGAAAGCCGGGGAGACATGGATTTATTAATTTCCCATGTGATTGGGAAGTTCCTTTTTTCTGTGGTTTCTTTAGCTTGGTTTTTCATGGAATTCCAGTAGGTAAAACCATTCTAACTTCATTCCTGGCTAAGATCCAAGATCCTCTTTTGTAACCATCGCCTTAAGTTAAAATTTCTTAAAAGAAAACTTTCTTTCCCAAAAATGAAAGAAATACATTTTTCTCATTCTGCCCAAAATAACAACAAAAAAGTCACAGCTAGAGCTTCTTACAGACTAACAACTCCTTGACCTCTCCTTGTATTTCTGGGATTTTTGGCACCTAACATTATGCTTTTCTAAATCTTTCCTCTCTTTTCTTACTGAGAAACTATCATCTCTGTTCTTTCGAAGTCACTGCATGGGTCCTTGCGCAATTAATATTCCTGGCTGGAATTGGCACTGATTTTTTTCTCTCCAACATAGAGAGGCCTGGGACCTGAGAGCATGCATATTGTTGTGATTAGAAGCTCTTACCTACAATCTACAGATGCATTTTAGCAAGCACAGTGTGTTTCTAATTCCACTGGATTCTTTGCTTCAATAAAGATAGGTGAGATAACACATTTGATAAGTTACCTTTATTTCATTTTATTTTGCATTTCTATCGCTTTGGACTCTAGTATTAGAAAGGAATGGAATTTAGAAGGAAGAAGGAGGGAAGAGAGATTACATACAGGTAATACTGAGAGAAGGAATTTTACCTGGCAAAACCGACTCCTCTGCTGACCCCATTAGCATCTCTGAGGATTCTTGTGGAAATGACATGTCCAAAGGGTTTCAGCATATTCTCAAGCTCCTGCTCATCCATAGAAATGGGGAGGTTTGAGATGTAGAGATTTGTTGGGTCTTGCTCTTGTTGCTAAGGGAAGGAAAGAAATAAATGCCCTCAGTAAGTTCTGAATGTTGAGACATGTTATACAAGCAGAGTTATTTCTACTTAAATTGTAATCAAGACTGCAATCTCTAACACACTCTTGAAAGTGCCTTAAACTAGACATTATTTCTTGCTTTGTCTTCTTTGTTTTAAGACAGTCTTTTATGTAGACCAGGCTAGTCCAGAACTTGCAATCCTCCTGCTGCAGCCTCCTGAGTGCTGGGATTACAGGTATGTACATCCACACCTGGTAATGACTTCTTTTCTTTTTGTCAGTTGTGGGACTTGAACTCAGGGCCTGGGCACTATCCCTGAGCTTTTTCACTCAAGGCTAGCATTGTACCACCTTGAACAATGGCTCCTCTCCCAGTTTTCTGGTGGTTAATAGGATATAAGAGTTTCCTGCCCAGGCTGGCAGACCTCAGCCTCCTGAATAACTTGGATTACAGGTGTGAGGCATTGGCTCCTGGCTATGAGTTCTTTTTACTAAAGTCTCTTTTCCTGTTCAGAATGTTACTCATAGAAATAATGGCATTTTAAAAAGCCAAGGTTTCTGTCTAGCCTTCTTTACAAGTGATGAATCAATTTTTATTGCAACTAAACAAGTCTAAATATGGATACATTAGTCCCAACTCTTATCTACTAGTGATCTAGCCCAAGAGCACTAATGGATGGCACAAACCACAGAGAGTACCAAGTGATATAATTTAAGGCCTTTTCCATCTTAACTAAGCACATATTGTGCACTATTTTTTTTTTTGCATGCTGAGGTGCAATGACTAAACCAGCATGTACTTGTTTCTCATTTTACATAATTTCATGGACTGAAGACTCATTAGCACTACAAATTTAACCAAGTTTCTCATATATATGTATATATTTTTTCACATTGTGAATCTTTACTTCTACAGATTTTCTGGGGTGTCTGAGTTGCCAGCATCTCTGTTTTTGCACTCGGAGAACAATATTAAGTAACACTGGAGTTATTGAAACTGAACACTGCCCTATGACAACACTTGAGTTGATAATTGGACTGGCTATTAAGTAACTAAACAGGAGGGTAGGTTATAAAACATGGATACATGGACCAAAAGGTATTTCACAGCCATGTCAGGACAGTCATCGTGTATAATTCCATTCAAAGCTTATATATTGCTATAGATTAGGGTTATATACTTATTTCTGGCATTTTTCTATGTAACATTTTCAGACTATAGTAATCACCATGATAATGAAAGTCCCAAAAGTTAAAGCCATGGATGAAGGGAGATGTTACCATATTCTTTTCTATTATGTAACCACTACTGTTATTATCAAACCACTGGTTTTCACTATTACCATTCTAATTACCACAATTATAGTTTGTGATGCTTCAGTGAGGTGTTCAAAGCACTGATGATGCATTATTTTACTCAACGTATCCATAATTAACATGCAAAATAAAATTTCTCAAGTTTATACATCATATCCTATTAAATCCATAGTGGAGCCACTGTGGGTGGCTGTATTCCTATCTACTCAGGAGGCTGAGATCTGAGGACTGAGGTTTGAAATCACTTCTCGGCAGAAAAGTTTATGGGCTGTTTCTTCCAGTTAAGAAACAACAACAACAAAAACTCCATAAATTGCAATACAGCTCAAGTGCCAGCCTTGAGTGAGAAAGTCTAGCAAGTATTTAAGACGGAATTCAAGCCCTAGTACCAGCACAAAAATATACCTAGGGTAGACAACTTGAGCCCGTTGTCAGGGCCCAGGGTTTAACTGCCCTGAAGTTTGCCTTCTACTAGACCAGAGGATCTCATACCCACTGTGGTCCCTCAACTTTAGGACTAGCTTCATCAGGAGCTTATGAACAACACAAATTCTCAGGGCTGGCTAGAAACCTTGAGTGTGAACCAAGCAACCTCTTCTGGACAGATCCTGCAGGTGATTCTGACAGCTGCTCAAGATCAAGCAACTATGAGATGCTGAAACGTAGACAAAATGTGAATTTTCTTTTTTTTGGTGGGGGGAGGGGTCTGGTCATGGGGCCTGAACTCTGGGCCTGGCACTGTCCCACAGCTCTTCAGCTCAAGGCTAGCACTCTACCACTTGAGCCACAGCACCACTTCCGGCTTTTTTCTTTTTGCTTATGTGGTGCTGAGGAACCGAACCCAAGGCCTCAGGCATGCAAGGCAAGCGCTCTACCACTGAGCCACCTTCCCAGCCCCAAAATGTGAATTTTCAATGCAAAAAAAAATGTCCATCATTTCTAATTCAGTGATGACAATACAATAAAAAGAATTGCTTAATATAATGGGGGAAAAGTCACAATTGTTAGCATCATTTGCATATGTGAATAGTCTCTGTTCACACAAGAATTAGTGTATGTTGAAACTTAGCTGTATTGCCAAAGTAAAATTGTTCATTTAAAAATATATCAAACTTGGGCTGAGAAGGTGGCTCAGACGTAGAGTGTTTGCCTTGTATGCAAGAGGCCCTGGGTTCAATTCCTCAGCACCACATAAGCAGAAAAAGCCTGAAGTGGCTCTGTGGCTCAAGTGGTAGAGCACTAGCCTTGAGCCAAAAGAGCTGAGGAATAGCGCCCAGCCCCAGAGTTCAAGCCCCAGGACAAAAAAATAAATAAAAAAAATAATAAAAATATATCAAACTTTTAATGTAGCCATTACATTTTCACCAGAAAAGCAAACTTTAAATTCAAGAATAAACAAGAAATTAAATTGGAAGAGGAAGTGCTTAAAGATATATACCATATAAAAAATCTTTTCTAGTAAGTTATATTATATCATCAGATTTGTAGTTTTAAACACAATGAAAAATTATTATAAGCTAGGTTTCAAGTATTATTTTAGGGCAAGAAATAATTTTGAAACCAAACTAAACTCCATTATTTTTCAGCTCTAAATATTCAGATAGGTCATAATATTTTTATTAAGCCTTGAGATGAATATGAACTGTAATTGGGTTCGTTTTTCCAATGTAACTTACAATTCAAGCTTTTTATCCCATAGAAACTGGCAAAAAATAAGCAATCATCTATCTCGAAAAGACAATTATCACTTTAAATTTTTTGGGGGGGTGGTCCGGTCATGGAGCCTGAACTCTGGGCCTGGGCGCTGTCCCTCAGCTCTTCAGCTCAAGGCTAGTGCTCTACCACTTGAGCCACAGCACCACTTCTGGCTTTTTCTTTTTGCTTATGTGGTGCTGAGGAATCAAACCCAGGGCCTCACACAGGCAAGGCAAGCGTTCTACCACTGAGCCACCTTCCCAGCCCAATCTCTTTAATTTTTTAGGAATACAGTTTTATGTAGTAAATGCACAACCAAAGTCCATTTCCCTTTCTACTACACACACACACACACACACACACACACACACACACACACACACACACACACACACACACAAAACTACATATACTACAATTACCACCAATAAATGACATGATCATCGCGGAAAATAAAAATTTTATTATCTTTTCTTAAATGGCTATAAAGTTCCCTTTCTCATCTTTTTTTCTTTCTTTTCTTTTTTCTTCCTTCCCTCCTTCCCTCCCTTCGTTCCTTCCTTCCTTCCTTCCTTTCGTTTTTCTTTCTTTATGTCTCTCTCCTTCCCCCAGCTGGTGAAAAAGAAATAAAAAGTAATATTTCCAAAACCGTAATAATGAACCTTATGCATATAAAACTTTCAATTTAACAATCCGTCACTTAATTTTAATCTTCACATCATTACTGCAAAGGTAGTTTGGCAAATATCATTATAGTTATTGGATAATGAGGAAATGGGGACATGAAAGGTTCATCAGCTGGCCCCAGGACAATCTGATAATTAGTGACAGTTAGAATCAGACTTTGCAACCCAGTTCTCAGCTTCCAAGGCAGCCCAGTGTTGTTGCACTCTTCAATATTTGCATATCAGATCTTAGAAAATTCTGTCTGTCATATACTGTTTATTTAAAAGTTTGCTGTGAGACAACATACCTTTAGGGCTCAAATAAACTCATTGAAAAATCATACTTTTATATTTCTACCAGAAGTAGAAGTAAGAAGTCAGTAAGTTAGTGTTAGTCCATAAAGAAGTTACCATAAGAACATGGAACATGAATGTTACTCAGTTGTAGTTAGATACTGTTTGCAGAGGTTTTGACACTCCTGGTTCTTTCTTTCTTTATTACAAAGGGGTTCATAATTAAGAGAAATATTAGGTACACATGAGCACCACACTGAGGTGTTGTGTTGTGTTCAGCTCTGTTTCAAACTGGGAAGAATCAGATTGATTTTTAAAACTGAAGTAATTGTTTATGACCTATATGCCATGACTAGATCTACTCATCTTCCATGGGAAAATACATCTAGAAATACATGCCTGAGAACTTGAGACTTCCTTCAGTAACTAACTTAGAACCTATCAATGAATGACAGCACCTAGCCAGCCTTTGAATGTGCTGGAGTTTTGAAGCAGGAGAGATAAGTGTAGAGATAGAAAAATTATATTATTTTTAATAAATATTAAAAGTGCCAGGCACAGAAGTTGGAACCAGGAAGCAACTCCCAAAGCAGTTAACCTTCCATCCATTTAAATGCTAAGTTACAAGGTTTGAGAGACCTAAACGGTGTACTCTATTGAAAACTACCTTCTCTGTTAGATTATTTGGACTTTGCCAGAAAACCACGCAGACATCTAGGTACAGAGAACAAAGAAAGGTTTATTGCCAGGAAAGGGGCTGGCAAGACTCCTTCTCACAAGGGAGCAGTGAGAAGAAGCACTGGCTACTGTCTGCGGTGACCTATATAATCTAGGAGGTTTAGTAGGGTCTAGAAGGGGCTAGGAGGTAGAGAACCTGGTGTGGATATGAGGACCAGGGGCTTCATCATGGCAGACTAGGGTTTTTGCCCAAATAGTAGATAGATAAGAGGTCCTGCAGCTGCCCAGACCTGAAGGTCACTCTAAGGGGCTCTTGCTGCCTTATATGGTGGTAGCTGCCC